TTAAAATGCATATCATTTTGATATTTAAAATTCACATTAGCAGAATTAATTAAATCATTTTTCTTATCGGCAAGAAATAAATCTCTGGGCGGCCAAATTCCAAATTCCGTTGAGGTATCAAACGCTCAACTCGGATTTTTCCAATTTGAATGCAAATAATAATGGGACAAACAGACTGAGATTTATGGTTTCTATTTCTGGCGATAAGAAGCGTACCCTTACCCCGTTCGGCAAATGAAAAAAATGTTAAAACTATTTATTAATCAACACCGGCAATTTGTTATATTTCCCTGGGCCCTCGAGTTAAGATCAAAAGCGACCAGAGAGACCCGAGCATCTGGAATTAGTCAGTGTTCGAATTTGGCAAACGGATCGTAAATCACTCGCAGATCCAGAATGCAAATGTTTCGGTTTCATCATAATGATCAGCGTTTTGAGGTGATGACACATTTTTCACGCGCTTCTTTTTATTCTTTTTTTTCTGTCGTTTCTAAGCCGAAAGATTAGAGACATATTTCATTTGGCACCTTAAGATGACGCTAAGATATATTTTAGTGGACCGTTTAAAGTAGCACAGCGACTTGTGTGGGAATTTGTCCACATATATGGATCAGCGGGGCCTCTTGCATTTTGCATTGTCTTGGCCCCAAGGTCGTTTGGGGTTTTATTTTCGGTTTTTGGTCTCTGGTTTTTTGTTTTTTCCGCAGCTTAAACGAGATTTGAATAATTGCAGCGGCGAGAATTTATGATGTGTGCGAGTGCCGTGCCGGAATTAAGCTGACAATAATAGCAGCAGATCTGCGGGTGGAACACTTGACAAATTGCGAAAAAATAATCATAAACATGACCTCAATTAAAAAATATTGCTCAATAAAATCACTTGTTAATTCAGACTTAGTGGAAGTGGTGAAGAGCATTTGAAATATCGGCAAATCAAAATAATAAAGTCATCACGTGGCCGATTATTTAATATTTAGAAAAAGCATTTTATAGTTATTATTTAAAGCAGCCAAAATTAAAGAATACTCGTGAGTAGAAGCCGTTTTATATTTTTCCTGACTCCCTCCACCTTTCAAAACCAGTGCAAATATCCCCAGAAAAATACCAAAAAACACCCGACCATCATTTGTTATGCTCAACCCAAAAAGGCAAATCTTATCGGAAGACAGAAGACAGGCCGGAAAAAAAGAAACCCAACCCAGAAACCGTTCTTATCAGCGGCTTGTCAGGCCCGCCGAAGACATTACCCAGAAACCGAAACTGAAACCCAAACACAAGCCCAAACCCCCTGAAAAACACACCAGAGACCCGTTCACATTTAACCTTTTTTCGGTGGCGTTTCGAAATTGAAAGTTTGGCGCTGAAACTGGTTTATTTGGCTAAAAAACTAAAAGCCAGCAACCGCAGCGGCTAACTGCAACCAACTGCAACTAAAGCAGCAGGCACAGTGGCTAAGTTTAATGCAATGCCATTGGAGATGTCATCAGAATGCAAAAATCTATATGAGAAAATAAAATAAATAAAACGAGATTTTTAAAATACTAATATTGTTTTTAATATATACAAAATATACCTATATTTATTTTATTTTTATATTCAAAGCTAAATTAATACAAATTTTAAAAATTATTAAACATAATTGTAATAAGTTTTTAAAATATTAAGTAAATAATAAAGAAACGTAAACATATTTAAAAAACGAATTGGTTGAAAATTAAACTATTTATTAGTTTTAATAAAATTATTAAACATACTTAAATGTAATATTTAAAATAAGATTACACAAACTTAAAAAAGGAAGTGTTTGATAATGATATTATTTATTATTGCTGATAGTTAATTAAAATATTTGTTATTTTTTAAACCTTCTTTTGTTAACTATAAAGATCTATTTAATCAGTTTGCACTGAATTTACACCACGGCCCAGGGGCCCAACCTCAATTTTCCACATTTGGGGATCTTTTCGGCCGACTTTCGGGCCTTATTTTGGGTTTTCGGTTTCGGTTTCGGTTTTGGGTCTCGGGCTTTCAGCCATCGCATTGTCTGAGTTCTCCCGTATTTTATTCGCTCGCTTTTGGCTTTGTCTCGGCCGTCTTGGTGGCTTTTTTGGCTAATTTGTGTGCACCTCTCCTGTCAGAGGCGTGTAATTGCCATGGCAGTTGGCCGACGGGGGCGTGTTGCCACTCCCAATTACCCAGTTTTTCATTTTCATTTTTCCTTTTCGATTTTCCACCGTTTGATATTTCGGGGGCTCAGGTTGTTTTCTGTTCGCTGTTTTCTGTTTTCTGGCCAACTTTTGCGAGCCGAGCCGAGACAAACCCGAAATTATTTACAACTTTGGCCTTTTGCACACAACACACAGCAATGATGACGCATGCACCTGTCAGCCAGCTGAATTCGCTTTATTTAGCCAGTTTGCATCCTTAAAGATTTCGTTTTTTACTTTGGCTGAAAGTTTTGTTGGGATTCTTGGCAAGTGTTAACAAACAAATGGATAGCAGAGTTTCCTGTTCCTGCTGGAGGTGCCATAAATAATTACAAACAACTGTCAGAACTTGGGTCAGAATATTTTCCAACTCTGGTTTGGGGTTTGGTCCTTGCAGCTGGTCAAGTTCTTGCGGTTCCCTTGGTCTGCATCTTCGGCTCGAAAAAAAGATTAAGTTTTGGTAATTGAAAAGTTGAAAATAAAAAAAAGTTCTAAATTTTATTAAAATAATTGCATGATTATAAAATAATTATATTTCTTGTTATTTATTTTTATAATATTAGGATAATTTAATTTTCGAAAATTTAATATTGTTTTGATCTTTCTTTTTTCGTAGGAAGCTCCACCGAACTTCCACTTTTCCGCCCATTTTCCAGGCTTTTCCCCTTTCTACAGTTGACCTCGTCTCTTTGGCTGCATCTGCATCTGCATCTTGGCTTTGTCCATCTGTCGGTGGGTCTGCCTGTGTTTAATTGCACTTTAATTAACTTGCATTGTTCAAAGCGTCGTGTTAGCCCTCTGAGGACCCCCCTTAACCCCCTGAGCCCCCTTAACCCCCGGCTTCCATTTTCTATTTCTTTTTTCTCCTTTATTTTTTTGTTGCGAGAAAGAAGAAAGTGCGGTGGCTGTCAGTTGTTGTTTGTATTTGTTTAAAAAGTGTTGCTGCAGTTGTTGGGCTCAGTTCGTTGCAATGTGTGTGTGTATCTGTGTTTGCACTCGGCGCCTGTGAGTGTGCGTGCGTATCTGTGTGAGTTGTTTTGAATGCCAACTCAAACAGTCAAGTGTCGTGCAGTGAACTGTCAATAGAGTGTACCAACATTTCGCTCTGGCAAATAGAAGCAGCTCGTTTTTTCCCTGTCGCAGATGAGGCAGACGCTACAAAAAAAGAGTTTAAATAAATGTGAAATGGTTAAAAAGTAGGATAAAACAAGCGACAGAATATGTACTCTATAGGAATAAATTATTGAAAGAAATATATAAATAAAAATAAAATATTTCGGTGGCCCGTAAAAGTATTGAAATATATTTAAACATTCTTAAATGTTATCTGTAGTGGTGTGATCTTAAAGTATTGGAAAGATAGTATTATTATAATTTTAGTAAAATAACTGATTTGACAAAATATCTTGTTGATATGTTTGAATAATAAATTTGCAATTAATCATATCGGTGTTTTATTGGTATGTATAAAGTCCCAGCTTATTATTATATAGAAATTTGGCAAAAATGTTCCCCAAAATATATATATAATCCTATATTTATTTATATCTTTCTGAAGGTATATCTCTGTCGTAACGTAGGTGGGTTTGGAGTCAGTCTGAGTCTGGGGCATCGCTAATGAGACCACGTCTTGGTCTTGGAGCTGCCAGCTCCCCATTGTCCTTGTTCTACGGCTACGACTTCCTGCTTTGGTCTTGGCTTTTGTTCCCCCGGCCTGCACGCCCCCGGCCATTTTCCAACCCACTTTTCCCGCTTTTCCACCTTCTGACTAATCCATTTCATTGAGAGAACTCGCTCGCCTTACTCGCCGCTCGTCTGTGATTTATTTTATGAATGAACTCGGCATTTCATTCATTCGCGCATCCAGCTAAATACTACGACTGAAAGGACCAAAAAAAAAAAAAAAAAAAGAGGAGAAAAAGGATTCGTGGGTGGGTTTGAGGGCACACACACACACACACGTACACCCGAGGACATGCAACGGTATGCAGGAGGATATGCGCTTCCGTCTTTGGCGAATTCCTGCCGATGTTTTTCTCGTCCCGGCCTGCCAATTAAAATGCCACCGCCAGGCAAATGTGAGAGTGCCTATCACAAAACCCGACGATCCTGTCTAGCGCAATTTGCCAAGGAAGCCAAGATGACGACGGCGATGACGATGGCGATGATGATGGGGTTGCCGCTCGGCGGAGACTGAGGAGACCTTTTAATGACTGTAAATCAAGCGTACTTTGCATTTTTGCCATCCGCCACATCCTGGCATCCTGCAGGCATCCCCACATCCTCCGACACTGAGCAACATTTTCGCGACGCCATTAAAAAACCTGATTAATATCGTGGTGGAACCAAAACTTCTACTTAGGCACTAAAACCCAAGGCATATTTAATAATTTTTTACATTAATTTTTATTTGTTTAAATAGAATTTATAAACAGCAAGGAAATCATAAAATATTTCCGTGACATTAACTAAAATATTCAATATTACTTATATTGTTTTAAGCAAGTCAAAAATATTATTTATTAATTATATTTACGCATATATATATATATATAGATATTATTTAAAATTTTTTTATTTCTAAAATAGCATTTTTTAGACACCAAAAATATGATGAAATTGCAGGGTATTCTTTAAAAAATAAACATAGCTCAAAAGTGTAACAATACTTTTTATCATGTCTCAAAATATTTTTATGAATTATATCCTCTGTAGTACAGTGCTGCCTGGATTGGGGCAACAAACCCGTGTGACATGCGGCTCGAACTTTCAAGAGCCTTGACTGACTTGCAGACTTTTCCCGGCGGTGCTGCCGGTGGTGCTGAAGCTGCTGACGGTGGTGGTGCTGGTATTCCTGGTACTTCTGGTGGTTCTAATGCTTCTGGTGGCGGTGATGTTGCCATAAGCTTGTGGGCGGCTCGTAGGCGTGGCCAATTAGCATTTGGACTATCGACAGTTTGACAGAGCGCAAAGCAAAAATAAGGGAGAATTTTTGGGAATTTATTAAAACCAAATTTGAAATACCCTATTCCCAGTGAATAAAAAATAAAAGCAATTTAATATAAAAATATTTAAAAATGTTTAAGTAAAATATATTGTTTCCAAAAATGTTGAGAAAATGTATTTCAAAATATCCCTAATGAATTAAGACTAACAACGCATTTTACTACACTTTTAAAGGGTTGTTTCTTCGACGACTTCAACAAAATTCTTCTATTTGTAGCCCCTGAAAATTCGTAAAAATTAGAATAGCCCTGGCAACGCAAAGGGGTTTCCCCCGACTGCCGGCCAAAATGAGTCACGTTGCAGCCACGGACCGGAAGTGAATGATGCAAAAAAAGGCAAAGCAAAGGCAACAGCAACAAGGGCAAGGCAAACACAAAGGACCCAAAGTCCACCCCCGGAGTCAAGGAGCAGAGCTGTGACGTTGACAAATGCCTTGGAAGGGATCTGGATCGGCATTTCGGGGGTAAAAGTGACTCAGGCGGTAATCAGTGCACCTGCTCCTGGGCACGCGACCCCCTTTTCGTATATATATTGTCCGTTTGTCCGCTTGTCCGTGAGTCAGCCAACCGAAAAGTGTCCTTTCTGGCTTTTCGGGCAACGTTTGATAAGCACGAAATTATGCAACCGGCCAGCTACAAAACACTTTCCTCGGGGAAATACTGGGCCCGTCAGTCAATCACTTAGTCATTCGTTTATTGAGTTGAGTTCCCAATTGCCCAGGCACGTGGCAAAAATTAGCCCATTACCTAAAATTGCCCGGTTCTGGTCACATCAAATGGCACCTTCTTTAATTTCGAAAGAGATGGTCACATAGACATTAAAAGTGGGACCAAACTCAAACAACAAGCCTTAAATAAAAGAAATTATTTACCTCTTAAATTGAACTTTGTACTTCCACAAATAAATGTTAAAATGTCGTAAAATTTCGGTTCGTCCGCCATAAAACTGCAAATTGCAACCTGGTCAACTGAATTTATTGTGAAAAATTGCTGCAACCCCCAACCCCCGACCCGCGTTCAAAAAGTTGCAAATTAGAAACCCTCCAATGGTGAAATTATTGACCAAATGCTGCGCAAATTTTGCGGAAAATGCAGCCATAAACTGAAAACTGAAAAATTTGCAACGCATTCCAACAAATCATAATCCATCCGCAACCTCTCGTTGTTTTTGCTTTTGCTCTTGTTTTTGCGGAGCAATCGCTGACCTCATTGTCACATTACAGGGCATTTGCATAAAAATGTTGGGGTTTCGTTTTTCGGTTTTCAAGTGATTAAGCAAAAATAAAAATTAATTAAACACCATAAAGGAGCTGCGCCCGAAACAGCCAAAAATATCTATATTTATGAATTTTACATGCCTGGCACTTTGCGGCATTATTATTTCAGTGAAGTGTTTGATGGGGCGAAAGATAAAATTATATTTCAAATTAATTTATTAAATTTTTCGTTATTCTATTCCAACCAAATTTTTTGATTTGATTGAGGCAAGGATAAATATGCATTCTCTCTTATTTCTTTGGTAATTGGATAGTATTGGTCTGTAAGTAATTACTTCTTGTTTGGGGAGAACACAATCCACAAATAGGGATGGAAAAAATCCATGGTTATTATATTATTATAAATACTTGGGCCTCGTTTCCCCCCTCCTCGATCTTCGGCATCGCTCTTGTTTTTTCTGGGTCGGCTCGGATCTCTTTGATTTGTGGTTCTTCGACTTGTTTTCGTAATGAGGAGCAAAGAGTTGAGTTGAGGTGAGAATTATGAACAGGTAACCAGGGGCAAACGTAGGAGGGTCAGCTCCTCCGAGAAGTGGACACATTAATTGCCGGCAGAAGGTCGCACACGCAAACCAATCTCATCGAGATCCTGCCCTTCCCTTCTCGTTCACAAATTATAGATTAAGGCAAATTATGATTCCCGACGTCCCGACGCCGTGTGGGAAACTGGCAATGACACGTTAAAGAGCCGCAGAGCTCGAAGATCTCGCAGATCCCGACAATCCCGAATATCCCCGAGCTGCACACGTCTGCTTTTCTAATCCCGAAACGGCAGCCTCACTTCTGTTTGTTAATTGCACTTGGGTGTGTAGTTTTCACAGGATCTCATCACAGACGCATTCCGGCTCACAGGAAGCCGTGTCGCCAAGGTCCCAGGGTCAGAAAATCAGAAAATCAGACTAGAAATATTTTTCTTTCCATCGCCACGGGGGGGTGCTCAGTACACACACACAAACATTGCCCATTACCTGGACACAGGTACAAAATGACTTCACACAATCGTAGATAAGAAAACAGCAAACAAATGCATAGGAAAAAATTCAATTTAATAGGATAACTAGCAAGTACTGGTAAGAAAAATATAATATACTTTAGATACCTACTCTCAGAAAACAAAATACTTAAAAAACTGAAGAGTTCGAGTATTAATTTCCTAATATAACTAAGCTAAAGATAAATAGTATAAATAGCGGAAATTTAAGGTAAAACAAGTAAAGTATACTTTAAATACCTATTATCAAAAAAAAAAAAAAAAAAAAGCTGCAGAATTCGCGTATATTAAAGAAATAGGGACGAATTCGCCCATCAAATTCCTAATGGAAATATTTAACTAAGCTTATGATTTGGCTAGTTTCATACCCATACTAAATTTTTTATTTACTTCATTTTCATAATTATTTTAAACTTTTTTCTCACCGTGTAGAAAACAGATATCACCAGAAGAGTAAGGACCAACTGCAAAACAAACGAGCGAAAAAATTCAAAGAAATCAATTGCAGGGCCCAACAGGCACGTCTTCTCTGGACCGCTCTGAATGGGATTGAGGGTTTGAGAATCGGAGAAGAGTTGGAGAAGCGGGAGAATCGGGGAATCGGGAATTCAGGCAGAAGTGAGACACACGCACCAGTGAAAGACACGCACCGAGAGAACAAGAAGAAGGCCCGTCGATCCTGAGCGGCTACCGGAAATGCAGCACATTGCACCACAGCGGCAACATCGTCGACCCAGCAGCAATATCAACTTCTAGGGTGCGGGGGCCTCCAGAAAATCCAGCTACGAGTGCGGTTCGTGCGTTTGCACTCGATTTTTTCCACTCTCCAGGCTTCCCCGTATATATATTTTTTTTTGTTCTGGCATTTTTTTCTACCCCGCTTCTCGTTTTTATTTTCATTCCCTGATTTGTGTGAGCCGCAGCTGTCTCGGGTTCCAATGCTTCGAATATATATATTTCTGCATGGGGAATCGTACGAAATCGAGAGATTTTATCTGCCAGCAATATCAAATCATTTTCTGGAGGGAGTTCTATTTTTAATTGGAAGATTTCATTTCGGAATAAACATTGAAAGTTGAATTAGGAAATTTAAAATAAATATTTAAAGGAATATAATTTTTATAATAATAATAATAATTGTATTATTTTAACAACTTTTAATTACTTTTTCCGCCCACTTTGACCCACTGTGCTGGCTGTTACTATTCTCTGAAAGCCAAAACTTAATCAGCCGCATTAATCGCATTACAAATTGTCGCTGGTCTGCATTTTTTCCCATCGCAAAAGCGGAGCAGAAAATGCTGGAAAAATGAGAGCCAAGGAAAATGTTGTAATGGAAAACTAAATGGTATGAAGTGCATTGACGGGATGCCATCATTGCACTTGTCGCACTGCACTGCACAGCTCGCTCATATTTTTTTTTTGGTTTGCCCTCCCTTTTTTTTGCGCAGTGTGACCTCAGACGAACTCTAAGGGAGCAGCTGGACTGCAGATGTGTTGCTGTCGTAGCAGCAATGTTGCTGCTGTGGCCGCTGCAACTGCGATATTGCACCTCCCGACTGCGAGTAAATTTAATTGACACCCCGGCGATGGGCAAAATCTGCAACTGCAATTAGCCAGGCCACAGATTCCACAGCTCCGGCTCCAGATACGCAGATACTTTAGTATCTTTTCCCACACGCCACTGACTTGGTTTCTGTGTTTGGCCAAGGTTGCTGCTGTAGTTGCTAGTGCAGTTTCCCAGTTCTCTGGCCCACAAATTATGCAGAAATGTTATAACTTTTACTGCTCCCAACAAGAGCCGTTCGAGTGCCCATTCTCAAGCGGGACAAGGTTGCCAATTGACTGTGAACAGAGCCAGAGAAATGGAGAACTGGAGAATCTGAGAATCGGGGAAATGCGGCCAGCAGAAACAGAAACATCTAAGTTTTGATGGATGGGAGTGAAGCTATTAGAGAAAGGGCCATTGAATCCGGCATTTAAATCGTAGATAAAAGAAATATCAATCGACTTTATAATCTCTGAAATTTTTAATATTTGACGTAATAAAATCTAACAAATTTCCCTATTAATGTTATTAACATAATAAATAAAATAATAATAACATAATAATAAAATATAAATAAAAAAATTTTAAAAACATATATAATATACTTTTAATACCCTTATCTGAGAAAAATACTAAAATAGCTGAAGAATTCGCGTATTATTTATATGTACCTTATTATATTCTTTTATGATTTCAAAGCAATTAAATCTTACATATTTTCCCCTTATAGGTTTCCCAAGTCCTCTGTTATATGATGCCACATGTATTGAATATTTTCCCATTTCAAGTATATTTCAAGCAGAACTCAAACTCCACTCCGGCTTTTCATTATATTTGGAAATAATATTTCATCAAAATTATGCCTAAGCAGATCTTGGCTTCCTCTTTTTGGGCCCCAGATATTTCCCAGATTTCAATTGTCATTATTTTTAACTGCTGCGGAAGCTGAACGTGAAATGAGATTTCAAATGCTGTCGCCCCCTCTCTCTCTCTCTTTCTCCCTATAGCCACTACCTGTCTCTTTCGCTAGGTGTGTTGTAACAACAAAAACAGTGAAAGAGGCAACAAGATGGCATTTAATAG